CTGTATGTCTGTCTGTACGTATGTTCCGAATAGAAAATTCCATTTTTCAAACGATCCGGACAAACTTGGCACACATACACTTTGGGACGGGGCAGATGTCAAAGGCTACTTTTCGTCATCTACCGATATCGATTTTATCGATTTTTAACGATTTTTTGTATTGGCTTGCGGGGCTGAGAGTTGGCACAGGGGGGGGGGGGGGAGGGGGTAATCGAGCATGCTGATTACGAATACAATGTTACTTTTTGAAATTATTTGTTACCTTTATCTATTTTATCGATTTTTTGCAAAGTTTGAGCTACGGTTGGGAATTGGCACAGAGCGGTAAGTGAGCATGACAACTAACACAGCGGGAATAGGGAAATGGCATGTAGAATTGACCACAGCGAAAGGTTGGCCGGGTAAGTCAGCTAGTGGTCCCTAAAGTAAGGAGAAAGACGTTGATGCAAGAAAGTTTTTAACAATCAAACAGTTGCACTTTTTTCTCTGAGACTGTATATACATACATTCGATCGCTCGAGCTCAAATCATGTACACAAAAGAAAGTGGCCTAAACTAGGAAGTGGTCTAGGCTTGCAAGCTTAGCAACAAAAGCTATAAATGCTTGGAAATGCAAATGCAGACATTTTTTACGATAGTCTCCAATGCAAAATGAACAGCTTACCTCCTCCGGAATTAGGAATTTCTCGAAGTCTCTGTTTTGCAGCGCATCTTCTAGAGTACTCTCGAAACGATTCTTGGCTCTTAAGAACACTGAATTTTTAGGGATAGAAAATATAAACGAATACTTCTCAGCTTCCGGATACTTGCACTGCACAATCGCATCATGCCTTTCCTTCAGTAGCTCAAGCAGCGGTGCTTCCCGTGAGCGTAGTCTCTTCAAACATCCTTCAATCTCCGTGGCCTGTTTGTATCTGGAAAAAATCATACAAGATCTTCTTGGGGTCTGTAACATCTGCCAAAAACATATTTAACGAAGCTTACTCTTCTTTCCAGATTGCTTCTTGCAATTTTGCCTCAAGAACACGAATTGTATTGTTGAACTCAGAAAGTCGTCTTTTGAACTCGTACTTCTTCACATTAGATTTCACAATGGGTTTTCCCCCTCTATTGTCCTCGCATGACTCCCATATGTCTCGCAGAACACGTGCTTTGCTCCTTAAGACAAGAAAAGCTGCTTTTTGGATCCAGAGTACCAAGAATCAATGCTTATTTCTGCTTGCAGCGCACTGGTTACTACTTACGCTTTTTTTCCGTATTAACACAATAGCTGAAACTAGTTCGACGGTAACTATCCATTCGTAAGCCACATAATAAAGGCTGTAACCCCTAATGGTCCAATTTTCTTCACAGGGTGTGCAAAAAGACGAGTTTGTACGGACAGATTGGTAAAGCATGACTCATTGATAGGATTTTGAATTCCTTGCCGAATCCAGCAAACTTCTTAACTTATATGTCAGAGATTTCAAATGATTATGTTGAGTTGGAAACTTCTTTGGCACCATTTCCAGAAAATTCGCAGCTTCTTGTTTTTTCAGCGTTTGGTTTTATTTGGAAGAAATAATGCGCTTATGATTAGACAGCTTCCCAAGACGCACACATTCGTAGATAGGAAAGGCAGAGAAAATCAATCAAGATTTTCTTGTGTTTGATCATATAAAATTCAAAACTCGCAATAAATCGAAAAAGTCAGCATTATAGGTTTGACTTGTTCCTTCAACTAAAGTTTGTGTTGATTGAACATCGTCGTTAAGACTTGCTTTTGAGTTGGCACTGACTAACTTATCGTAAAGACATCCTTTCAGCACAAACCTGCTCTCTCAAAAGAAGTTGGTCAAAAACCTATAACATTGACTGCTCCGATTTCTTGCGCAAGTCTTAGATTATTTATGATCAAACACCGAGAAATCAAAATTTGAGTGTTTCTTTTACCGCTTCTCAGTGGCGGTCCCAGATTTCCGTTCGGGGAGGCAAAATGACGATTTTCTGATGAAGGTGGGTGGCATTGGCCACGCACTCCTAAAAAATTTTTGGAGTGCTTTTCGCGGGTCGTCCCGAAAAAAAAATTTTACAGGACTAACTTGAAAAATTTTAAAAATTGTTGTAATTATTTACAAGAATAAACAAGTCACTTGCACGTTTGAAAAACCCATGCAAATAAATCTGCAAATTTCAACCTCCCCCCCCCCCTACGGTCCACCACTGCTGCTTCTATATATGCAGTATGTGCAGTATTGGATGCGTGATATATGCACTTGTAAAGCGCAGCGCACAATCTTTTCTTCCAAATTGATTTGATGGCATGCAGATTTGTTGACAAACCAGAAAGCTATGAATTTTTGAAAATGGTGCGACGAAACTTTTGTTCCATTATTTATTTTATTATTTTTTCCATTTTTATTCAAGCAGTTACTTTTCATTCCAAAAACAGCTAAAGAGGACAATCATATGAGGCCACTTGTAATCTCATTCTTAAATCAGTGTAGAAAACCTATCGGGTTGTAGGTTGCATCTTAATCTAAGAACTGAGTTTTTTTCAACGGCTAGCCACCAAAACAAGGTCGTTTTGCAGAGAATACTCTAGCAAAAGTAGCGGTTCTTTGTTTCTAACATAATGAACTACAAGGTTGTGGAGTTTTTGATCCTATGCTTCTACTGTGAACTTCTATATTTCCGCTTCACATCGCGCATTAACCTAGCCTTTTAAGACTATAATCAAAGCCTTCTTGGAAATTCAACAAATTCACATTTCTCAAGGCTAGATTAGCGATGTGTGGTGGTTTTCAGCACAGTGTGAACGACTATAAAATCCAAATATTTTTTCAATAATACCAGCTAGAACCGAAAAGATTTGTGGAAATCACATTATTATCGACAATACTTACTGCTGCCCGAGCTAAAAACTACAAAAAGATTGCGATAACAATGATTCTAACATACGTATATTTATCTATATTCATTACTTATTCAGTTTTTATTCGTCTATTTATGTACTAAATTATATTCATTTTAGTAAACATGGATTTGATTGGAGATCTTTTCGGCATAGGAAATGTGAAAAATTTTGTAGACAATATTTCATCTTTTGATGATGACAAAGTAAATAGAGCGAATCGACGATTATTTGGAGTGTATAAGCCGCTTGAAAGTTTTTCATGCTGCATTAGCAAATTGACTTTTTGCACCGAATACAAACGTCATAGTCTTCCTTCCGCCAAATTTATCTTCATAGCAAACCCGTATAAAAACGTTCGGAAAACCTAGGAAAGCGATGTGCTGTAAGAACTGGTCCTTAAAAGCTTCTATCACGTGGAAATAAAATAATTCTATAGAATCCAGTTGTATTTCTCTCTGGCTTGGCTTAAACTGAGATGTTTAGAGCTTATTTAACCTCTTCATATCTCAGATTTGTTGGAAAAGCTATCAAAAAATCAAAATAGACCTTGCATGAATTTATGAAACATCCGCTTCTTTTTTAAGGTGGAGAAGTGCTCATTATTACTTTGAAACTTTCTTCTGGAAGATTACGCAGCTCTACTACACCAAATCTTTTTTTTCTGGACTACAAGACAACTCAAAGTCACATCAAACAAAGAGATGAGTAGAAATGATTACAATAAGCTAAATCTGGTTCGCCTCTAAAGAGCGGATCACCAGTTCAAGCTATAAAAGGAAGCTCAAATTTACACACAAAGTAAGGCGTGCCTGACAATCTAGATGCTAAGAGAAGAAAAAAATAACAGGTGTTACATCAGCTTCCTCTGATACTGTAGATCGAGTTTACAAGGTTTTCATTCAACAAAAATGACATTATTGAATCAGCTGTCATTTCATGCCGTCATTGTTATATCAGTTCTGAACACGATCAAAATACTCAGAAAAAGCTTAGTTTGTTTTGCGTATCAAATTACATTTGAGCTGATTATTGTGGATTTTGGAGCAGAATTTTGGTAGGTTCATAATAACTATGAGATAAAAAATAAAAGCCTTCATGAATCTTCGCTATAACTGCTTTCACATTGCAAACTACATATGAAATTATCGAAGCTCTGGACGTATCATCAAAGTTTGGCACCAATTTTTTTGTGTACTTATTATTTGATTCAACTGGCTTGGCTTCGGAAAGGCGAAGCTTCGTGACCTAATTGAGGCTAGGTAATGATCAAACAGCACTCCCGCGAAAGAGACGCAGGTGCGTCGCGGGCGCGAGCGGCCTTAATTTGGTCACAAAGCCCCGCCCTCCCGAAGCCAAGCCAGTTGAATCAAAGGTTAGATTGCAGTTCTTTTGTGCTGTACCGGATGGCGCAACATGGGAGCGAAACTTCAGAAAAAAGTCTCTCTTTCTAAGGTTGATTCAAAAAAGCTGAGAGATTTATATGAACCTGAGATATACCAAAAAGCATGTACTTATATTCAAATCTTTAGAACTGGCAACATTATATCACCGTCTATACACATTTTTTGTTGAACAAAGTTACCAAATGACTTTTTTCTACACAAAGGGCAAAAACAAATATGTGAATAACAGTTGATATTTGATTTTCTGATTCAGACTTGCTATAGAAAAAATGATCTTGGAGAAGGAATCTCTGCTCTTTGTAATTTATTCAAGAAAGACTCGCACTGAAACAAAAGACAAAGAAGTATAACAAAAATCGTGATGAAATGACATTCAACTGATTAGCAATTATTTTATTTATTTATTTAGAATTACACTCATGGTGCACCTTGGGAAGAAAAAGCAAATTCGAATAAGCATAATACCAGCCAGGCTCAAATACAGGGAGATTGCGATATGTAAAAAAAACCAAAAGCTCCAAGTTGACTATACACATGAATGTTCTCTGCTCAAAGAGAAACAAAATACCAGAACAAAATTCGTATTCAAGATTCTTGCTTCTTTCATAGTGTAAAATTGAATTAGTTGAGAAACGATTAATTGAAACACGATAAAATAAGACCACCACTTCTCCACTCAACCCCCCTCCCCCAATCCCTATGAAATTTGCCAGATGCACATACACCCCGCAAGTGAGCGCCGTTTCGCTACAAATTCAAACACTGCATCTGATCACAATGGCGAGTGTTACAAAGGTGTACACAAACTTTGAGTGCATTCCGAGGTAAGATTTATTGCATAAAAGGAATGATTACATATGTGCAGTGGGTTGTGGATCACACCGAAGGCGGTGGTTACCTCGGCGTGAGCAGCGAACTCTCAGAACTCCGCAATTCTTTCGTGGACGTGCTGTGTGTCGGAATCTCTTCGAGTGTAGAGCTATCAGAGCTGCTTTCTGCTTTCTGAAAGCAAAGTCATTCGAAGGTTCACTTTTTGTAAATGCTGTAGAGGAAATCAAAATTATTCATTTGAATATTCAAAATGAAATTTCATTTGAGATCACAACTCGATACATACGGAAGCAGGTTTCCTTTTTGCAAGCTTATTAATAATAAAAGAATCAGCAGTCCACAAAGTCGTACACAGATGCTAAATAATTGAAAAAACATAACAAATCAGGTGAAACATACTTTTTGCGTTGAAACAATGCTCATAGTACTGACTCCGCTAGTGTCACTAAGAGATGACGTCGGTCGTGAATTAGGAGGAATTTCTGAAATTGAAATTCAAGGTTTACAGAAAATTGTGAGGGTTACCTCAAGAAGATGGCCGAGCTCTGCGATTTTACCCCGACATCTCAGCGTGTCACGTGACAAAGGTGTAAACTGTATAACTTTTATAGGTTTTGTAAGAATATTTTACTTTGTAGTAGCCGGAAATTTTCGAAAACGTGGCTAACACCAAGCCCTTTTCTGAGTTTCTGAAATTATGAGCGTGCGAACAATTTGAGAATGTGTCGCGAGATTTTTGAAAATTACTTGTATGAAGTTAAAATGTGCAAGTAACTTGCTTACACTTGTAAATAATTGAATTTTCTAAAAATTCGACTGAGCCTTTTAAACATTGTATCGGAGGCTTAGTTGTCGCCATTCCAAAAAATTTTTGGGTAGCAAATTCGCATTGCCGAACAAAATTTTTGTCCCCTCATCCGAACGAAAATCGAGGGTACACCAATACTTGAAAGTAAAACCATTTTAAGCATCATTAACCATCGGTGGTGGTCTTTTGCGATAAAAAGGTTAATACTATCAAAGTAAAAACAGTCATTTTCCTCGATTACGCAAATCAGACAGTAAGAACAACATTAGGAATGTATGCGTGTCTAATTACAATACATTTCCGAGCTGAAATAATTCAGAGGAACTGATACAACTTCGAAAATTTTGTGAATAGGTGTCTCAGAGAAATTGAAGATATTGCAGAAATTGTAGGAATAACTCAAAAATACTGATAAATCAATTCAAAAATGCCAGGTGACCCTTTTACCGCAAGATATTTTTTCGCAGCATAATACATGTACATGTAGTATTTATATTTACCAGAATTTTTGTTTTAAAATAAGAGTTCAAGAAAAGGTGATAAAACTGTGTAGAGTCCGATCTCTCGTAATTTATCTCAACTGACAAGAGTAGGTGAGATCCAAGAAAGTGGATTTAGAAAAGTAGGATCTTGTAGCATTTTTAGCCATCGAAATTCAGAAATAGCAAATCTGAGTATTTTTACGGGTTTTTATAGCCTTATTTTATAGTAAAAATAGTTAACATAATAATACTACAAATTGCATAATTCGTTCTTTTAACCCGAATTATAGCAAACGTATCCGTTGAATCCAGAGTAATAACGAATTTTTGGTGCATGCTCATATTTTGACCTGGCAGTCAGACAGGAGCCAGCAAAGCCTTGCCGCTTTTCATGATAATACCTTAGGAGCTCTAGACTAAAGCCTCAGCTTCAGACTTACTCGCGCCTCTAATTTTTACTTAATGTCAAATCTAGTTGTTAGCATGAGATTTTTGGGTTTGAAAAACCATAGCCGAAGTGAACCTGTTTTCAGCATACGCTCATAGAATTGTTTTCTGTCATAGATATCAAAGAGTCGCATTACAAATTTTTTCAATTTCCATCGGTTTCATAATTCTTTTCCTAGCAATAAGAAAATTTCGACTCCAATAGAAGTCGCTAGTCCTGCTCGTCAAGGCTACCAGATTTGTACCTTTCTCGGGTGATTCTGATATACTTTTGTCTTAATTTCACTGATCAGTCTCGAGTGGTAGAAATTAACACGTATTATTCTTTTCGAATCAAATTTTTGCTTTTCAAATCTTTTCAAGACTGCCACAAAGCAGCGGAGCGCAGCATCTGATTATGGTTGTAGAAACTCAACGATTGCCAAAATTACTACTACATGTATGATGTTTTGCATTCGAAAGGCTTGCAAGGTAAAAAATTGTGTATACGAGCAATTGATTCCTTACTATGAGCCTCAATCAAATAATCAAAAGTGCGAGGAGAGTGAATAGAACGGGAAGAAGTCTGGAGCCCCTCAGATACTTCTAGAAGCAAAAGCGATTAACCTTTGCTGTCCCCGCCTGAAGTTCTTTTTACTTTAATTCAAACGTACAATATCCTCACTTTTTTCCGCATTTCGTAGCCTTCGGACCATTTCCTTAGTGAAGAGAATCTCCTCATCGTCGCTATCGGTAAGCACGTCAACCACAACGCTCATAGTCCTATGTGTGGCAGTAAAAGGAAAATGTTATCGAATCTGAAATAGAATTCAATGTGAATAGGTGAAAAGTGCATCAGCATTGAATCGTGCCGCTTCGAGAAGTTCTGTATAGAACGGGCAAACAAGGAGAAAATGGAAACTTCAGTAAGTTGCATCAGTAAAAAGATTTGCCAGCGATAAGATACAGGATGATTTAGGAGCAAGTTATGACCTTTTTTTATCATGAGGAGACGATAATTAACCTATTGACATAGCCCTACGGTCACAGCATGCAGCTGAATGAGCAAAAGCAGCAATTTCGCTTCTCTACTCAAACAATATTTTCATAGCATAAATGTAATTGAATGTTTCTCAGCGTTAAATGACACCCGCGAGAATTGCGTTCAAAAAAGTGCAGCAGCTAACTCCAAGATAAGCAGGCAATTTCAGCAAATTGAATGAAGACTGGAAAAGGATTTTAAAAAAATTTGAAATCAATTTCTCTCAAAAGGGTTTACCTAGAAGAACTGAGCCGACTAAAGATCAACTTATTAGAGAAAATAATCTGCAGAAAAATGTAACTGCAAAAAAGAAAACCTCAAAGCATTCAATCTGATTCATTTCGTGTGATCTACACTAAACAAAAATGTAAGAAAAACTTTGGTGAAAAATTTGTTTGCCATTGTAGACAAATTTCAATTCCTCCACGAAAAGACTTATTTTATAAAAAAATTAAAAAGAGAAGCACATCTTGATTGCCATAAAAAATTAGAAGAAAAATCATTCGTTCTTTTCTTTTCATTTTCTTTTTTTGCTTTTAAGCGCACGGATGGCCTAAAGGAATAATCTGTGGCTTCGAAAACGAAGTGCTAGAAAATAGCCTTCTGCAACTAAAGCACATAAGGAAGGGAAAGGGACCTTAATCCATTTTTTATATAGTAAATAAGCTTATTATAACGAATCAACTAATCTAAGGCTAATTCAAAAGAGCAAATATATTGATTTGAACAAAATTAGCATTTACGGTCGAAAAGCTTGTTTTTTCGAGAAAAAGCACTGTTATAGGGTTGCACCTAAGAGCCGAAGCAGAGATCGTAAGGCTTAATTAGCACTGTTTGGAACTAGTTCTATTGAGTGCTAATGATGACTTGATGTGCTATCCATAGGTAATTTATGAGAGAAAGAACTCGTTGACCCAGTTTCTCCGAGGAAGTAAGCCTGAGAGCCTTTCAGATGGGAGAAAGAGCGAAGTCCAACGACATCGGCACTGAATAATCGAGGCGGGTAGTCATGGCGACGGGGGCTGTCGGCATGAGAGCAACAGTTCAGGGCTGGCATCATGCACGGGTTCCAGAAAGCTGTTGCTGAACAAAAGCCCCCCCCCCCCCCCGTACCCGATCGGCCTGTGCGTAGCGCATACATTAAGCTTGACTAAACCTGGAGCGGTGTGACTGATCGCAATCGAAAGCGGAGTGCCGTCGAAAAGGCGGCAGTGAAAGTTCGGAAACGGGCGTGAAACGGCACGAGGAGCCCGTGAAACACGTATAAATTGATGCGAACACGGGGGGGGGGCAAGAGGTAGCGGAGAGGGAACTGACGGCAAACACAGAGCTCCACACAGCCTGAACAAATAGCGTGCGCTATGAGACACACACCCACAATGTGCCCCAGCGAACGCCACCCATCTAACATTCATAATACTTCATAGGCTCTTTGTTGGAAACTGCTCTCTCAATATTGCCGACTGATGTTGCTGACCCGGCTTTGCATAATGCGATATGTCACAAACATTCATGTTTGGAAAAAACACCGTATATGAGACGGGACAAGTCCAAAAATAGCCTATTATTGCCACATAATGCATGATAATGGAGTTTCTACTCTTTGCAAAAACAGTTGCGTTCGTCTACTGCAGCTATAGAATAAAGTCTGGTGTATCTGATAATAGTTTCTTGCGGTGTCGACAACATTTGCGCGTGAAAAAGTGGCCATGAGGCGTAAAGTGTGAAAGCATGCGCTCCACGGGCTTTTTACGCGCAAGTGTCGTAGACACCGCAAAGCACTTTATTAACCTTCAAACCAAGAGTATGAATAGTTAAAGAGTTAAAGTAGTGACAGTACTAAACAGTGTACATGTAGTTAAGAATTAGAATAACCGTGTATTTTTTGTCCTCGTAAGGAACGCCAAGAGCGTTTTGAATAAATAAATAAGTAAATAAATAAAAAATAAATAAATTGACTGAACCGCCACATTCAGGCAAAAGCGTCAATACATTTATCTATGGTTTGACCGCTTTCGTTCAATGTATGGTCCAGTCACTCCAGGTTATATGTGCCATTGCACTGATTGCACATTTAATGCGTTTTTTCTGCGATTTCTCATTAAAAACACCTTTCATACGGGTAGATGATAGGCGCTTTCAGCTATCTCTCCTTACTACTTTTTGCCAGAAATCGGCAACAATATTTAATTCGAATTTCTCATAACATGTGTGCGAACTGTCAAAGATGTCCAGGGTGTTACGCGTAGTGCCATGTACGCAACCACACACACTACACGTTTATACTAGGCCTTACTTGACGGTTGAAATATTCTTGCGTTGTCGACAACATCTGCGCTCAAAAGATGACCATAATTCGCTCCACGGCCAGTTTTTATGCTAAGCGCATTAGGTATTACAAGCATTGCAATCTTCTTGCGCAACATTGTCCGACAAATTGAGAGCTAGTCTTAGGCAAAGGTGGTTGGTTTCTCAAAACCAGGGCGAACACAGGCTCCGAGCATATAAACCCTGTAAAACGCTTGTTCACGGACCAGAGAAGTACTCTTTGATTCAACTGGCCTGCCGGCTGAAACGCGGGCTTTGTGATCTAATCGAGACAAGGTAGTGATCGGAGAGTACGCGCGCGGTAGAGACGCATACTGCGTAGCGGGCGCGAGAAGCCTCAATTAGGACACAAAGCCACGCCTTCCAGCCACCAAGCCAGTTGAATCAAAAGTTATCTGCGTTGCATTCGCGTGCGCCTTGCTGGGCATACGTTTTCATATGAAAATAAACTTAAATTGATCTCAGATAAGCTAATAATATTATATTTTATCTGATCAAAAAGAGGGATGTTCCGTTGGTTAAACTCATACGGTAAAGGAGCTCCAAAGTTGATTGATTGAGGTATGCACCCAAGTATATTCAGCGAAAGCAGATACAGAAGTGCCCTATTTGAATTTCGAGAACAACTTGTTTCTTCCTTGTGTTTACATTCCCGTTCGGGAGGTTTTTTGTCGACTCTTTGACAACTGGTCGTAATGGGCACTTACCAAAATTTACGACTTTTGGTGATGTACAATATTTCACTGTAAAGAAACGGCAAAGCATTTCCTAATATGCATGTTTTTCAAACCAAAGATAACAAATGGTCTGTGTAGTTCCATGAGCAGTAGCGCAGAACAAAGTTGATATTCAATTTACTAGTTATTATTTCTTCAATATCAGTAAAGCACTGAAAAAAATGCCAAAAATGATTCTAAAATTATTTTCTCTTTCCATAACACTAGTAAGAAAAGAACATTTCAGCAAACAGCAGCATAAATATCAAGGAGAGGACTAGATATACCCGTGAGAGCAGCATGCCGAAAAACACTTGAATTCTTTAGTTTATTTATAATATTTGGAAAGCATATGCAGTCACAATAAAATCTCAAATATTTGAGGAAGAATTAAGGAACTTTGGGCGTTCAATAACGCCTTGCAGTCGCTGTTGATAAGAATTAGTTACTCACTCAGCACTTGTGACGTCAGTTTTTTGTTGTGCGAATGGCATTCATAGGCTGTCTACTCAGAGGTGCGAGTGAAAAAAGGGCAAAAATAATGAGGTCGGACTCATTATTTTCCTTTGAGTCATATGATAACAAATACAGGCACTTTATTGAAATTTATGGGAAGATAAACGAAAAGGACAAATTCGATACCGGAAAATGCGTTCTTCAAGGTGCCTGCGCCCGTACTATAGGGCAACATTTGTTGGCTCAGTCTTCAAGGTGTCTACTTTTTTCACAGCTTTTTTCATTCGCAGTCTTTTCAACTCAATCAAATGTAGAGCTGTAGCACAGCATTTTTAGAGCTCGGAAATCTCTCGACTGGGAAAAAAACTTGTCGTCGAGAAAATAGCGTGCACCTTTTTCAATATTTGTTTCGTATGTTGAACAACAAAAAAGCATCTTGCGATATTCTCTACGGTGCGAATGCATTTAGAACTTAAAGAGCAATGTGTGATTTGTGCTCAAGAGAAAATGGCCATAATATCTTTGAAAAACGGATGAAAAGCCAGCAGGAAGAGAATAAGGGAATACATCAGTATAGAAAAGTTTCTTGACTTTATATTAATTTATTTATTATTTTGTACGCCAGAAGATGCTCAATGCAGCAAAACCAGATCAGGGCAAGGTGTACAGAACGACATAAATAGAAAAAAGAAAAAACAACAAATTTGGATCATACTGTAAAGAATCAATCACCCAGGTCTATTCCGATCTACTTTGCACTCAATGGAGGAAAAGAGGGATATGAGTGGTTTGATAAGATGAAGCAAAAGGGGAAAGATTAAAGAGTGAAATTTTTTAGGAGTTGTTTCCCCTGGAACAAACAGCTTGTTGTGCAATATTTCAACTTTACACGCAAAGGTAAGGCAGCACCGAACTATCTAACGCATAAGATTTATGATGTGACCTCGAAATCGTGTTTTTTGCTCATTGAAGATGTTTTACCACAACAAGTTCTGAGTGAACTGCCTTTTTTGGCACCTAAAATTTTTATTTCAAATTTAAAGGTTAAAATTATTAGGTTAACTACTTGTACCAGCGATACCAAGTTACTCGCACTTTCTTGTCTACACGCGGAAGCAAGATAATCCTAAAGTGACTGTTCTTAGTTAGGGTATCTTTACCAATAGTTGAGAACATAGATGAATTTAGCTCAAGGCACGCTGTTACGCAATTTTGGATCATTTCAAAAACAACTAATAGGAGTACAACATATTTGAAAGACACATTCTGGGATAACAAGCTCGAATCACAGCAGGTACAAATAACACACCCGGACACTGGCGACCCAGTCTTAAAATCATTGCGACACTCATGATTGCCTTTCGAAATACGTATGACCCTTTTACGAAAATATGCTTGGTCACTCGTTATGAAATTTGGCAGCGTTCCAAAACGCATGCCACTTGGCAGCAATCCAAAGTCAAAGATCAGTATATTTCATCATAATTTCTCTGTCTGCTGCCTCATCGTTTGCCGTGTTCCACGGATCAGGGATAACCAAGTGGTAAACAACGAATCCAAAATATATTACGTAGTGATAGACAATTGTTGCACCAAAAAATAAAAAAATTGTTTTAAAAATGCTTAAACAAACTAATCAATCTCAGATTATGCTCTTTGTTGTGTATAACAAAAGTAGTAATTTATAGTGTATTTTAGAAAATCCATATGAAGCAAAATCGAGTAGTCAGTTTGAGAAAAATCGAAATTTGTTACTATTCGCAGGGACATCCAATCACTACCAATTTCGCTTACAAGGGAAGGATACTAACTAAGATTCGCCTTTGAGATGTGAAACATATATTTGGAATCAGCTTTGAACGCTGTTTCCAGCATGCTGCTCATAGCTGCTTAGCATTGTTTTGAAGCGAGTTATGGGCTTGCTGTTGTGAGTAAATAACGTAGTGAGTAAATAACGTACTTTTAAGTGTCGTAAGACGGCGTGTGGATAGAATCCGCTCGAAAAAAAAATGCTAGGATGTTAAACTAGCATCAGAATAATTCTTCCGACCTCAAAAGAAAGTATTATACAGTTGCGAAACCACCTAGACGTCGACACCGTAGCATCAGCAGGTCGAGAAACACGTAAACTTTACATAGAAAAGAGACCATAACTCGCTTCAGAATGACGCTAAGCAGCTAGGAACAGCATATTTGGAGTCCAAAGCTGATTCCAAATATATGTGTTTCATCTCAAAAGTCGAATCTAAGTTAGTATCCTTTCCTTGTTAGTCACAAAAGTATATCATAAAACCAAAACCAGAAATAAGTCCAAACTTTGTAGTTTTAGCAAATTTAGTGAATCATAGTGTTATTTTTCACAGCAAAACACTTTTTGAATCCATATAGTATTCAAGTTCTCCAAATTTATCCAAATTCGCGGTACTGCAAAAGCTAATCTAGATGTTTTTTTTGGAATGGAGCCAGCAGGCCCAAACCTGGCATGGTGCCAGTTTTTACTCTTTGCCAAAAGATTGATGTGGAGGCGCTCGTATGAAAAGTCCCCCTCCCCCCTCTCTACAGTATACTAGACACGGAGGTGCGAGGCTTGACACTTAGCCGTAGGTGTTCACACCGCGCACCTCGGAATTGCTCATCGTATGAAAAGTCACTCACCCCAAAAATTGAATAATCACTTTCTGGATATTTTCCTTGATCTGCTTTCGAGCACTTACAAAAAGCGCAAGATTTTTTCTCTCTATTATGCATCATATCAGGAGATTCCACTGAAGCTGGAGGAAGTGACAGAATTTCAAGGATTTGGTGCAAGAATTATGCATCAACCACATGTACTATCATTGCCAACATTTTAATCGTAACATTGAAGCCAGGCAAGATGATCGAAAAGATGATTAGTATAGAAAGTGAGGTAACAAGGTGATTTTTAGCCGCTAAAATACTTTCTGAGTTCAATGCAAAATGATAAATAGATAGCGGCTTCCTATTCAACCAAGGACTTCCGCAAGATGCGACAGCGAAGACATCGCAGAATACAGTCGCTGTAATAAGTGATGACGAAAATTCCGCAGGAAATGACATCATGGAAGATGTCTGGTCTAAAACCGTCGCTTGCTGACATTGCGCGTAAACAATGCCAATGCGCTTGAAATTGCTAACTACTTACTCGGAATACATCATTTTGAAAGAACGGAATGATTTTCGATGCAAGAGTTTTAATGAAACTTCAAGTCTTCGAGGTTTCTGACTTTGTACCAATGTTTTCTGCTCGACAGCTAGTGCATTCTACTAATCTGTCTTCTGCGTTTAGGAGTAATCGGTGGGATTATTTTTGTAGAACCAGTTCTTGCATGACCTTGCAGAGCTTTGAATTGTAAGACGAAAATTCGCAGAGTGACTGTATGAACGATATCTCTTCCTAATTCATGAGACTAATACACCTCCTAGTGAAGTCAAAATTACCATTATTTTGGCAATGGCTCACTTAGGACATGTGTTCGCTGTACACCGGGAGTTACACGGATGTTGCCGTGCCAGCACCGTGCCAGCGACGTGCCAGAGCCGTGCTACTATCGTGATAGAAGTGTGTGTACTCGTCTGGAAGCGCTGTACACTTGGAGGAACGTACAAGAGGAGTACTGGTCGATTGACCAACAGCACACCTTCATCACGGTAGCAGCACGGCTCTCGCACGGCGCTGGCACGGTGCTGGCTCGGCAACAAGGGCAACTCCCGGTTACAACGATTGCTCTTAAAGGCAGCGTACACCCAAAAAAATGCAACAGATGTTGCAACAGCAACTGCAACTGCAATTGCAGCTTACGCTGTTATGGATTCGTCCGGAGGAGGCGGAGCGAAAGAAAAGGGGCCGCGTGAAAGAAAATTGAGGGGGGTTTTCTCCGCTCAGAAGCAACATCGGAGACCGGACCAACGCAGTTGGTCTTCTTCTGGGCCCAGTATATACACGGTGTAGAAAGATCTAGGAAATTCGGTAACTCAAATTTTGGGTGTACGCTGCCTTTAAGTGAGCAATTGCCAACGTAATAGTAAATAGTAGTTACCATAAGAGGCGAGAAATTCATATTGGTTTGCGAGTTCCTTTTTCAAGACAGTCATTATTATGGACTATGCTTGCTAAAAGAAAGTAGAGAAAAAGATAGTACTTACAATTAGTTCAAGCGTACCTATTATCGGAGCTAGAGCATATAATCATTTGTTCACTCATTCAAAGCATTCAGCGAAGAGCCTAACGGATGTAGTTAGGGCAAAAAATAAATAATAGATAAACAAACTGCACATGAGTTTGCAAAGGATAGAGACTCCACTATTATTATATGCAAGTGATAGTTTATTTTTAGACTATGTTTCATAGACTTTGTTTGCGTACACAACTGTTGTGGTATATCGCAATACGCATTATGCAAAACAAGGTCAGATTTTTGAATGTTTATTCACATGTGTTATCCGAAGAATAAGAAGGTGTAAACGACTAGGGATGCTTACGATGTAATGGTATGATTAAAAAAACTCGGTATACTCCAACGTTAGCTTCAAGTTTTTTTTTGAGTAATTTGAGAGATTGATAAATAGATCTAAAACTGGGGTAGATAGGTAGTATTGGTGAAAAGGTAAGTATTAGCAAGAGATATTTCGCAGCGATATATGAAGTAGAGATTTTAAATATGGCAACTTAAGATCAAGATGTACCATTTCGCGTGTGAATAAAGAGAAACCCAAGAACGCAAACTGTAATACTTGCGGGTAACATAAAACGAGAAAGCAGACTACTACCATTATTTTTCGAACCAAGCAGCGCACGATTCAAGCCATCGATACGTTCACAAAGCTTCGACGAGGAGATGCTGAGAGAATACATCAGCCGATGAAGCTGCTCTTTGTTGCTGCCGTCCTGGAAAAAGTTCACTCTAACAACTGAACGAAACTAAAATTAGAACAGAGAATGCTTGCCTCATATCCGAAAGCTTTCGGTTGTCCAGATTCGCGAAACTGTGCAGCGGTTCTGCAACTTATCAAAGATCCAAATAGAACATTAGAAGAATCATAGACAAATAGGTGTGCTTATGCAACCATATAATATGCAAATTTCCAGATACTTTTAGGATACGTGTTGCCCTGTGCCAGCGTCGTTCCAGCTAAGTGCTAGCGTAATGTGCCAGCGATGCACCCTGGAACGGCGCTGGAACGGTGTTGACCCAGCGGCGGCACATGGACAACTCCGCAGACTCTCCTTATTACAAAATATCAAAAAAATCTAAACACTCACTCATGTTCAAGTATCTCCCTTTGCATAACAAGAAGCTGCAGATTTATACTGCAGAGCAGATCGTTCATATGCAGTAAATCGAGATGAGCACTAAAAACGAAAATGGTTCAATAAGAACTGAAAAATATCAGTTTCCGCAGATAATCAACAAAAAATTATGCACCCACTCTCCTGTAAATGCGCCTGCTAAAGATGGTAAAGATGTTGACACCCATTCGCAATCCAGTTCTCGGCGCAGCTGAGCTGACAAGCGAGAAGCGTCTGAATCGCTCACCTAGAACATCTCTTGTTGTTCGTCATATAGGTGCAGCAGGGCAAATGCGCAAGTACCGTCTAGTCTCACACACTCTAGAATTTTGATCTGAAAACTTAGAGCAGAAGCCTGCCTGTGCAGGGCTAGGTTTTAGCTGACTAACCCTTAGAAGAAGTTTGTTTTGTTCAGAGCAAAAGCAAGAGAGACACTAAGTTTCGCTTCATAAGGGCAGCGGCTCGGCAGAATGACAATTTTGGGACATTCATCGTTCTCGGTTACCCTGGATGAGCTAATTCCAAGACTGTGCTTTGCAGCTCTAAAATATAACAATAACCCGCTTTTCCAGAAGTGAAAAATCCTACTTGGGCGGACGGAGTATGCCTGTCCTCGAGCGCGATTGGCTCCTAGGTATGGTAAGTACGGTATTTCCGCTCACAAGCCAATCGCGCTTTAGAGAGCAGGATATGCGTTCCGCCTAAATAGCATCTTTCACGTCTGGAAAAGCGGGTTATTTCTTTTGAAGCTGCAAAATAGTCTTAGACTAGCTCGTCCGAGAGCGATGAATATCCCGCTGTCATTCTGCCGAGCCGCTGCCTTTAACTCCGCTTTGCAATTTCTCCCCCTGGAACTGAAAATAACCCATCGGCAAAATTTTGTGCGACTATGGTTATTACATCCATTCTCGAAATTATTTGCAATTAAGGGAGCATATAAAGGAATATTAAGTCCTTATATGCATTCTATTCGATTTGTCCAAAGTCAAAAAATCCACCTTAGCCATTAGATCATCCAATCCAATAGGACCATCCCTATATGTGGCGATCTAGAGGTCGCAACATCGTTTGCGCCAAGCGGGAGTTGATTTCGATTTGGCCGCTATCTCTCATCATAGGCGTCGGGTGCCGCAGCGAGGGGTCAAAACAATAGCTCGTGCCAGAGCAAGAGTCAGAAAGCAGGACTTAGCACGAGCTGTTGAGCTTGTAACAAATTGGAATGGAAATAGCATGCCTCAGCGCGGAGACGCAGAGATAGCGCAAGACTAGAGCTCGACTACGCCACGCTCGTCACACTTTGCTTGGTTCGTGTGTGCACACAGTCACGACTAGTTCACGCGAAATATCAAAAATCAATCATTTCCATTTGTTTTCGCTCGAGTTGACGCGGAATCTTCTTATTAAGTGTCTGCATTGAAGTCTCGGCTGTTCTTTGCTTGTCATAGTGTTGCTTTATAATTCTTTATGTTCTAGGCAAGAGCGAGCTCGGCAAGCACTGATGAGTAGTTTTGACAAGCCTCGGGAGCCGCCATAGATCGATAGATGAATGACTCAGCTAATTTCCGCCGATAATCTAATTCATAGAAGGAAATGGAGGGCGATTCAAGCTTATTTTCGTTCTTTTTCGTTCTTCTTCGTGTTATAGCACGTGTTACGAGCGTTACTATCTCACATGCAGAATATCAACATGATAACTAATCGAGAAAATACTGAAGGAGAGTATTCTGGGCTAGAGCATGAGACCCACGGCATGTTTGAAAGTCTTAAGGTATGGGCACGTCCCTTTAGCCAACATCTCGAGTACTATGTGCATTTCAGATCGTCAATCGTAAGAAGATTGGACGGATCTCACGATTTGCTTTCCATTACGCAAAGACGTATCACCGCAAGAAGGTTACAGCTGTACACAAAGCAAATATCCAGAAGCTTGGAGATGGGCTCTTTCTCCACGTAATTTGAATTTTTTTCAACAACTAACTACTGAGTAAGCGCATAAGTTTCACAGGTATGCAAAGAGATTGGAGAGAACGAATTTCCCGAGATCAAGTTTAACTCTATGATTGTCGATAACGCATCAATGCAACTGGTTAGTTCCTGTTTTGTAGTTCAGTGATTCTATTCCTTTGTGGTTAGATTTTTCCCATACATCCTAATATGCACACCCTTTGTTGAAGCAAAAATGGGTTTTTACTTTTGCTCTTTATCACTTTACCCATATGGTAAGCGCTGTTGCATCTCTGGATTGTACACTGGTCTTCACTCGCAAAAGTGCGAACCTGTTGAAGTGGGTGAGGTACCGGACGTTTGCGCTTCTTCTTGTTGCGCTTCTTCTTGTCGTTCCATGCGGAAAAGCAAGCATAGCTCTGAAATAATGGTATAGAAACTTCTTTAACGTATGCATTACATTCGACAAAAAAACACTTGAAAACATTGTGGTTAGATTTTTCCCATACATCCTAATATGTACACCCTTTGTTGAAGCAAAAATGGGTTTTTACTTTTGCTCTTTATCACTTTACACATATGGTAAGCGCTGTTGCATCTCTGGATTGTACACTGGTCTTCACTCGCAAAAGTGCGAACCTGTTGAAGTGGGTGAGGTACCGGACGTTTGCGCTTCTTCTTGTTGCGCTTCTTCTTGTCGTTCCATGCGGAAAAGCAAGCATAGCTCTGAAATAATGGTATAGAAACTTCTTTAACGTATGCATTACATTCGACAAAAAAACACTTGGAAACATTGTGGTTAGATTTTTCCCATACATCCTAATATGTACACCCTTTGTTGAAGCAAAAATGGGTTTTTACTTTTGCTCTTTATCACTTTACACATATGGTAAGCGCTGTTGCATCTCTGGATTGTACACTGGTCTTCACTCGCAAAAGTGCGAACCTGTTGAAGTGGGTGAGGTACCGGACGTTTGCGCTTCTTCTTGTTGCGCTTCTTCTTGTCGTTCCATGCGGAAAAGCAAGCATAGCTCTGAAATAATCGTATAGAAACTTCTTTAATGTATGCATTACATTCGACAAAAAAACACACTTGAAAACAGAGCAATAACACGCGCGCAAAGCAAAGACAATTCTGCATGGGTTTTTCATCAATATCTATCTCTTTGCGGGAGAGCTGCTCTTCTGCATTATTGCCTTCCAAGTGTCTGCCTCTAAGCAGCTACCTATAGCGCAGTTGCTGCGCTCGCTGCTCACGATCAGTGCTAAGCGCAGGATCGGCGGCGGGTGACTGCGCTAGTTTTGCAGTAACCAAGCTACGGGCGTGAGGTCGTGAGCAGCACGTACTTCAGTCGGACATGTTACGACCTCGCTTTCTTTACGTTGCGACAAATTTGAGGGGTTTACTACGGGCCCTGAGAGCGAGCAGCATTGATACCATCCTCACTGCAGCCTGCTCGAATAGCGGTCTCACTTGCAAAGTTGCTTGGAGGTTCAGGATTCGGATCGGCTCGCAGAAATGTTGAGGGAAGACGGTGATCTGATACGCTTGCCTATAACTTTCCTATATTGTGAGCAGCTTGTCCATAAATTCCCAACATGAAAACATTACAAGATGCCGCTTCGTTCAAAGTTCGTTAGCCATAAGTAACTTATTGCCATAGTATCCTGGCAGAGGTTTTGAAATGATTGTAAGGATATAAAGTGAAACTGCTTAGCCCTCTTTGTAAAATGAAAATGGCTTATTTAATATTTACAATAGTCTGAATTACGTTCGAAAATGACACATTCAGAAGCCGAAGAGATTGTACAAAGCTGAATATAGTCTGAAACAAATGTTCTGGGACTGAGACAATGGATTTACTTAGTTCGACCCCGAAAATACTTAATTATTAAGTATTGTTCCCATTTCGACTATCATCCCTCTCCCTCCCCCTCTCTTTTCCAGACACTCAATACATCTCAGGCGTATCCAGAGTCCTGTGTGCCAAAGCAGTGCCAAAGCCGTGCCGGGATTTATGTGAACTCATCACGCATGATATATCGACATTCAGCGGCAAGTGGAGCTAGCAAGGCGCTCGAACGATGCTGGCACGGGCACCTCTAGACGCAGCCTAGATGTAAGCACCCCACTGACCATGTTGCTTCAAACCGGAGTGAGAAAAGAGAATCTATCTTGCAGTACGGCGACGCAAGAGCCTCTGAAATCGTCTTCCAAATTTCTGTTAGCTCTAGTGATGAACCCGCATCTATCTAGTTTCCTAAGAGACAGCTATAAAAATTACTTTCTATTTTTGTACAAAAAACAACCTACCACGTCTTCAGATGCAACATCCTGCACATGCTCCTCGATTTCCATTTTCCTGAACGTCTATTGTCGGATACTGTATTTTTTGTAGCAGAGGCAGAAAAGTTTTACCTTTTGATTGTTGGAGCATATCCGTAAGAGCTATCCAAGTTATCCGAAAAGTCGTCAGCATCAGCAAGCATTTCTGGTTAACTTTGTGATCGTAAGAGATCAAAGTGCGTAATTAATCCGAAAAGCTTGCTTCAATAGTGACTCGCGAGAACTGCAGGCAGAAATAAAAAATGTACTTCGGTGTCAAAACGTTAGCCATCCGGAAGTGATGTGATGACTACTTAGTCCATTCCCTTAACATGCTGTTCGCGAGCTTACCGTCGAACATTGTTTTACAGTACTTTGCTAATGTGGCCTTGGTCAATGTATACAGAACTAGCTGTGAAACTTCTCTAGCAGCCGGTCCTCGCTGGTAAATTTTACAAGTTTTGTTCGAATACCCATCATGAGTTTGCGGGAGTGATTCGCGCCCATTTGCTGCTTCTTTTACTATGCCACAAGCTCATATGTGCACATTTATACTTTATCAGGGAAAACTCCTGCGCATTTTCAACCACATAATACATTTGCTTAAGGAAAGAATTTACTGTTCAGGAAGTAAGATTTGTTCGAACATCAAGCTGTCGTTTTTAACCATATAAATTTGCTCAAAGAAACACACTGTTTTAAAAGATGGAACATTTGAACTTTATGGCGCCTACGGTCGTCACAATATACCTCATTCATATCAGTTCGATATTCGCTGATACCATTAGTGGAGATAGAAAAGAATTCCTGAGCTTTCTTTGCTTGAAGTCTTTGATTCCGCTAGCAACATCCCGATTGCATAGACAAAGGCAATCAATTTCTTGTGCTGGGGACCTCATTTATAAATTTTCGTAGCTCTGATTGGCACTGTTATGTAAAACAATCTGGGCAATGCTGATGATGTTCTAAGTGGACAGCGAAGGATAGCAGGTTGGATTCCGCAGAACAGAAATTTTGCTATGCCTACCTTCGAAGGGTATAGAAATTCGGCGAATTTGAAATTCTCATTAAAAATCATTAGCTCACCCGTCCCTCGACCAATTTTTCTGCTCTTTGGTGGCATAACCGTATGTGATGTGTGTTCCCGTTATTATAGAGAATTCTTACAACAAAGATGCGCCTCTGATTTGTGAAAGGACAGCACCATATCCCTGTCATGTATATCTAACTTATTCTTTGCTCCCATATACCGAATTCTATGACTTAAAATAGGCTTTTCATGATTGTGAGTTCTAAGCCAGTTTTCATAGGATGGTCAACAAAAAACTGAGCACTACTGGCTAATTTTTGCAACATCACCGAATAATGCAAAATGGATAACTACCGATATGTACAGTATAGCCCATCGCTACGAGAAAGTATCGAATAATCTATCATTTTACAGTCGTGGTAGTGCGATGACACCGACTCCCATTGATCCTTCCATACACAAAATCATTATCAAAGCATTATTTGACGCAAGAGCTGAGCTCTACTGCACTGCTATGAGGAGGGTTCGGCACGAGATGGCTTTTGGGAAGTGCAAAAAACGAAGTTCCTCTTGACTTTCCCAAAATTTTATGAAGTTTGACCCCAAACCATAAACTAAGAAATCTCCAAAAAAACAAAACGTCGATCAAAAAACGTCGCAAATTTTGTGTCTTTTCAGCCAGAAAAACGAAACCCCCTTTCTTTTTTCCCCGAAAACGATATCCAGCTTGCTTATCAAGCCAATTGTGCCGAGTCGTGGCTATGAGTTTGTTTTGCAGTAACACATATGGTGATCTAAGATCTAGACTACAATACCGCTCATATCTAGTCGAAATATGTAGTCACTGAACTTCACCGGTATTCACCGAAATCAGCGTCGCGTTGCAAAATTCTGGCTCGAAGTGGACGAATTCTGAATTCAAGGGCACCGTTTGACTCGGTTCGGCGAGCTGCATCTTCTTAATTTTAAAGTGCCCGTTTGAATATGGTAGATGCACGGTAGGCAATCGCATTTCGTAGATTTTTGCCTATGGTAAATTACTCAGTGTGCACGAATAAGCACATTGACTGATCGACCGTAGCCAAAAACCTAGATTTGTGAAGATCGACCGCCTTCCGTGCGCCTACCATATCCAAACAGGCACTTCTATATAACAGAATATGCGCTTCAAAAATCTGTCGAACGGTGCCCTTAGATTCGGAGTTGTCCACTCTGAACCAAGATGCGGCGATGCGACGCGATTTTCGGTGAACTGCCGTGGAGTTAGTGACATTTTCGACCAGTTATGTGCAGTGATGTACATATAAGCCCGTTTGCCTAGTGTTCGATCTATACAACGATGCACTAACGGCCGAGATGTTACTCAAATTGACATCAGTATTCTGTAGCAGAAACTCTAGGCAGTATAAATGCAACCCACTACAGAGCCTTTTATCACATAAGACATTCTACATCTTGAAAATGTTATTTACAACTCATCAGCATTTCGTCAGAAGCTCGTTCAAATAAAGTGAAACTCGTTGCAGGATACCCGTAAATCAGAGGAGATACAATTATAAAAGAAGGTTCACAGAACAACAAGCAAAATGATTCTTCTAAGCTAGATCAGAACCATGGATGCCACCGCGGATCCATCTGCGATAAATTTTCATAATTACAAGCTCTTTCGATAGCGTTGTAGAGTTCATTCTGCAGTGCACTAGCTTCTTGCGACGCCATCCCTAAATATCATAAATAATCTGACATGAATAATAATAAAAACTTCTTACTTGTCGTCTCAGCAACCACATTTTTGATGAAACTGTTTGCTTCAGCACATGCGGCGACCTGAAACAATTTCGTAAAAATGTCGAAAATTTCATGTAGTTTTCTACCTTGTCATGATTTCCGCGAATGATAATTTCGTCCAGAATAAGCGGTCGTAGTAGAAAATGTTGCTCTCGGCGCAAACATCGTACCACAGCTGCGGCAGCCCATAGGAAATCACCTGGGAAGTACAATATAGCTAAGGAAATGAAATTTGTATAAAATGACAGAATCCATTGTTTGTTTCCTTGTTTGTACAAAATTGTGTTTATATTAGAGTGTGAACCAAAAATTTCAAATTCAGAAAGGGATATGTTTGTGTTCAATAAGCGAGAAATGCTGTGTCCACGCAAGTCTGGCTTCCCCGGCTTTCTTGGAAATTGACTGAAAGGTTTGAACTACGCCATTTCCCAACTACCCAGTATACCGTACTCGAAGACGCGATTGGTTCGCTCTGAAGAATACGATACTGGGAGAATACAGGATTTTCGCGTGAATAACCATCATCCTCCTGGTAGTGTATTATTGTTGACCAGACCAATCAGCGACACCGAGTACGGTAGCTGACAGAACCATAGAGTTGCACTTCTCCGACAAAAATAAAATATGAATTGCCCGGCATCCCATGCATATCAATCACTAAACACCACGCTCATGATCCAAGTAACCATTTCTCTAGACTCGAGCTGCCTTTGAACCACACAAAACTAAGCAGTCAAAAAAATCCACCGTTTCATGATTGCGAACAGGAGTTCATTTGAAAGGATCCTATTTATGTGTTATGAGTAGTTCGAGAAATCCAAAAAAACTAGCAAGTGAAAGAAATTGAATTGAAATTTACCTTCCAAAGTCATTCCAAGGAGCCATTGCAAGTTTGGTGTCAACCGGAATGGCACTTTCCTCTCAACTCCTGGAAGAAAACTGTTTGGTACAACAAGACTGACTTCTACAACAGTTCAAGAAAATACCTGTGTCAAAAGTGAAATTGTACCGGGGAGCAGCCACTTGAGCTGTAGAAGTGCGAACGTAAAGATCGTCCAGGAATAGCGGAGACAAACGCACTAACATCTCCAGAATGCTCATGACAGCCAGCTGTTGAGCAATCTGTGGAACAAAGCACGTAAAGAACTGGGAAATGTCACATGAGCCATGCAAAACAAACCCTTTTGCGGAGTAAGTAGAAGTATGTGGAGTCGGTGAAACGTTCCAATATATAATTTTGGAAAATCGATGGTCCAATGAAGTTTTCGACAACAAATCCTCTGTAACAAACATTTTCCGTGATTTTTCACGAGTGAAAACTACACAAATCCTACCTATACGTATCCAGCACCAGAGAATGGAGATCTCCTTCAGCAGCAGCTATTCTATCGTAGTACTCCTTCAGCAGCAGCTATTCTACCGTAGTACATCGTGATAGCGTCATCGGGTCTCATACCGAATGTCATACCATATTCGGCAAACACATCAAGTGGTCGTATAGTTTCAAAAATTTGTTTTTCGCCACAAAGCTCATTGGATAAGCATCTGAAAGCAAATACAGTTTTCGCTGAGGAAAACGTAAGATGACGACTTGGAAACTTCGCAAAAATGTACTATTATCTCCAAATTTTTTCTTCATTTGCTTTTCAATAACTTGAAAATATAATGTCTAGCAGTGTTTCGATGGTGTGCTTGCGCTGCACTAAATAATGCTAGGTGAAATTTCGAAGAAGAATGTGAAATTCCTAGGCAGTGTCCATGTAGATTTCTTTTTTTTCTGTCTCTCAAAAAAGACTTCATATCGCCTGGCTTTCATTTTATGGGGACATCTTATCCGCATCTTTCAACAAAGCTTTAGGACTGGGCTTTTTTTCTGGAAGAAAAGTGTAAGAAACTTGCCTCCAACATCCATAAGAACAGCATGCGGAGAGACGACTAGCTGATTCGGAGGTAAACACAAACAGATGACGACGAGCGGTTTCCTAAAATATTCGAAGCGATTACACTACCTCTAGAAATTTAGCTATGGATGATACTGTAATCAAAAACTAGTGATTGGTAACACTGTAGTCTTACCTATATGGGTTATAAAATGTGCAAACACTTGTTTAATTTTTGTAAATAATTAAAATATTTTTTAAAATTTTTTGAAAATTTAAATTAGCCTTAGAAAAAACTTTTTCCAGATTTTAGAGGTTGGGGACCTGCAAAAATTTTGAGAAGCGCCCCAAAAAATTTTTCGGAGTGCGTGGCTAACGCCACGCACCTTTATCTGAAAAATTTTTTTGTCGCCCCCCCCCCGGTCCAAAATCCTGCGACCGCCACTGTCAAGGACAGATATTTTATAGCATCACTTAAACAGGATGAAGGCTATATATCGAAAGTAAGCTCCATTTGTGATTGTGCACATAATTCTGTAATCTTATTGACAATATCTATGAAAACTCACCCGTTCCTTAACCAACGACGTCTTCACTAACTGCAGATATTGTTGGCAGCGATTGGTTCTCTCTTTGAAAATAGAGCGCTGGAGATAGTAGACGCTTGTCTGGAATACTCAGGGACTCGCACCGTGCGGGCGGCCAGCGACGAACTTACAATCGCTCGTTGGTGTGTGCGATTGTACGGTCGTCAAGGGCCGTTAGCACGGTTAACGTGGGGCGCCCGCACGGTTTCATGCTCGCCGCTTGCGCGGGGAAGGTCGGCCGCTCGCTTGCTGCTGGAGTAGGTTTATATGGGGTATTTTGACCATTTTGCTTGGGTATGTTAATCATTTCCACATTCTGGGAACATGGATCAATGCCTGCAGCACTACCCAGACTTTTCATGGAAGGGCCCACATCATCACTCCTGATAACTGTAGCCTCACAAAGGTTCATTCCAGCTTTGCGGGTGAGGAAACGTTGATAGCAAGATATGTCGACGCTTAGCCAGCCCAAACGCTGCGTCGTATCTCACGCAGGTACCGTTTACGCTCACAATGTGTGAAAATAGTGAGCAGAAAATAGAGGTCACTGTTGGCCGCTTGCACGGCAACATGTATTGCCGACCGATAAGACGGACGCATTGCTGGCCGCTCGCTCGAGTAATCGTATTGCAGGCCGTTTGCACGGTAACATTGCTTGCCGCTAGGACGACACTTCAGCTGTTTGCCGCACGCACGGAAGCTTTAGGCTTATGTCGACCGCTTGTACGCGAGCCCTTATAGGAGGACCGCTCGCACGGCGCGAATCCCTGAGTAGATAATGCTCAAACGAAGACATGCTACTTCAGCTTTGAACGTATACTTGGCTACATTTTCGTAAATAGCCTCAAGCGTTGAACAACCTGGTAAATATAATATGTTCTGAAACTGAGTAAAAAATACCTTTTCATTAACAGCCATTATTTGCAGCCTCTTCATGACTCGCCCACTCCTAACTAAAACTTCGACATGAGGATTGAATCTTGCTATCAAAGTCACATACTGGTACTGCTATAAATTCGTTCATAAAGCACTTCTTAGGTGATTCTTACTAATTTCAAACCTTTGTAACATTGGCATCAAAGGACGATGGTATTTCTATGCATGCCATTGCACTACTGTAGTCAGCAAGGAACTTGCTTGATAGTCGAATGGGGTACCGTCTAGAAAGTCTATGCAGCCTATCTTTCAGCACCATTAAAAGAATAACGAAATCTTGGTAATGAGTATAAGCGATTGTGCAGCTTTGTTTGCCATTTGATGAAGGTCTCAGCATAGGTGCGAAGGGTTGAGATGATACTCACCCTCCCTTCACTTTGGAGCCGCTACCTCCCCCTTCACTTTGGACGGAGGAAAAAAAATTCTTTGAAGTGAGATGATAGTGTGCTTGAAGTGGAGTAGAATCTAAGGTAAAATAATTTATTTACAGAGTGTAGGGAACGAGAATACGGGAAACGAAGCAAAAATCGGGCCGGACCCCCCCCCCTCACTGAGACGAAGCAGGTGCAGAGTTGAGAAAATACTTAGTTTAAAGTTGAGATATCGTATTGAAATCCAATTTTAAGAGTTTCATGGGGCGAACGGTAATGAGTCGGATGGAAGGGCGCATGGTCATGAAACGAATGGCCGAGCGTGTTGTACGAGACTCGGAGAAAGACATTTTGTGGTTGTACTGTGGCTATAAATTAAATAATTTGCCATTGTATTGTGTGTATAAGGATAAACGATAAATGGAAGTGTTGTAGACAATCAAAGATGTAGATAGTGAGTGAGGTTTGGTTGAGGCAGGTTTGAGTTTCCAACTATACCCCCCTTCGAGCCAAAAAAATTCCATATCTCGGTAGGGGGGTTCCTCTCATAATCTGATTTCTTTTTTATCTTGTCGAAGAGAGTGTACTGCATATAACTAGTGCTGTCGCAAAAGAATCTGCGGAAGCAGACCTTCTTGAGCTTGAATTTCACACAAAAATCTATGCGTCTTCAACTCGGTACTGTTGCTCTCCTTCATCACAGCAGATCCTTTTGCGACAGCCCTACTTATTTCAAGTAAACCTCTCTCTACAAGATGGTGAAAAAAGTAGATCACGAGAAGACCTCCCCGCTGAGATATGGACCGTCAAATAGAACCATCCAAAATCGATTTTTTTGCTATAACTCTTGTGTAAATAAACAAAAATAAACAAGGAGCTGGATTTAGAATCTGCTCTTCAAGAGCTTTCGAATGATATGTAATATGTGGGGGTTCCTTGTTATTTTCGCCCTGCGACAGGGGTTGAGACGATTCAGTTATGCGATCTCTGGTCTATCCCCCCTCCATATGCATTAAAGTGGGCGGGGCTGAGAAGCTATAACGGAATCGTCTCAACCCCTGTCGCAGGGCGAAAAAAACAAGGAACCCCCACATATTACATATCATTCGAAAGCTCTTGAAGAGTAGATTCTCCAGCTCCTTGTTTATTTTTGTTTATTTACACAAGAGTTATAGCAAAAAAATCGATTTTGGGTGGTTCTATTTGACGGTCCATATCTCAGCGGGGAGGTCTTCTCGTGATCTACTTTTTTCACCATCTTGTAGAGAGAGGTTTACTTGAAATAAGTAGGGCTGTCGCAAAAGGATCTGCTTTGATGAAGGAGAGCAACAGTACCGAGTTGAAGACGCATAGATTTTTGTGTGAAATTCAAGCTCAAGAAGGTCTGCTTCAGCAGATTCTTTTGCGACAGCCCTAGTTATATGCAGTACACTCTCCTCGACAAGATAAAAAAGAAATCAGATTATGAGAGAAACCCCCCTACCGAAATATGGAATTTTTTGGCTCGAAGGGGGGTATAGTTGGAAATTCAAACCTGCCTCAACCAAACCTCACTCACTATCTACATCTTTGATTGTGTACAATATTTCCACTTATAGTTTATCCTTATACACACAATACAATGGCGAATTATCTAATTTATAGCCACAGTACAGCCACAATATGTCTTTTTCCGAGTCTCGTACAACACGCCTACGTGAAGGCTCCACTCCAGCCATTCGTTTCATGACCATGCGCCCTTCTATCCGACTCATTACCGCTCGTCCCATGAAATTCTTAAAATTGGATTTCTCAAATACGATATCTCAACTTTGAACTAAGTATTTTCTCACCTCAGCACCTGCTTCGTCTCAGTGAGGGGGGTCCGGTCCCGATTTTTTCGTTTCCCGCATTATGGTAACTATGTTAAAATTTATACAAATAAATTTAGAAAATTTGAAATCAAAAAAATTGGAAAATCGTCAAAATTAAAATTCAAAAAGATTAAAGTTAAAAAATTGAAAAATTATTTTTTTCCAATTCTACCTCCCCCCCCCCAATCGACGTCGGCAACTTTTGGACCCCCTTCACTTTTGAGGGTTAAAAACAGCCGAGACCCCCCTCACCTTGGAGAGTACCCATCTCAGGCCTTCGCACCTATGGGTCTCAGCGAGTTTTAGCAATGCTGGACCAAATGCAGTAGGTGCATTGAGAACTTCCAAAACTTCAGTTCGGATTTCGTCGATGAACTAAAAAATCCACCATCGTTTTATGCGACTTTTAAAAAGTTGAAAGTAAAACAATTATTCAAATTTCACACTAAATAAAAATGACTTTAGTAAATCATTTTACCTGTTCCTCAGTCTGCAGTGGTAACGCATGTCGAGAAGAAGATGGAACCTCACTCTCACGAAGAATATCGTCGCCTATGTTTTCCTTGAGTTTAGCACACCATAATGACATCGTCGCCATAGCTTTGTCATCCAGCCTTGCTGTTTCCAAACGAGTTTCTCGCGCATCATACAAGCACCTGAAAAGGAAAGAGTTTGACTTAACCGTCATAATCTTCCTCGATTCGAAAACTTCTTCGATTTTACTTCTTCGATTTTTTTTTGTTTTGCTTCTCACCAAAAATATAGTTTTGCGCGAGAAAAAATCATGATTATTTTCAGTTTTTGCGACATTTTGTTCAAAAAAATATTCTTCATACGAACCATCAACGTGACTGTCTTCAATCGTTTTAACATGTCAACTTCAAATAAGCGCCTTAGGCCCCGGTCAGACTTCACGCGACTTAATCGTCGCGATCTAATCGCCAAGATTTCCATTCATTCTCATTTCACATCCAAAAATTTCGGTCTGGAAATGTATCACAACCGAATGCAAGTTGATCGGCATGGAATGATGTTGTAACAGTTGTCTCGTCGCGATTCAGTCGCGACGATCAAATCGCGTGAAGTCTGCCCGGGGCCTTAAATTTGCTGGAGTTGACGTGTTAAAACGATCGAAAGGCAGCCATGTTTGTGGTTCATATGGGAACAATTTGGGGGATGCACAATACCATTCGCGCATTCAGAGTTGCCGGATCGGCTGCGCAGAGCCCAAGCGCTGCGGATGCGTAGTTGCTATGCAAAAGGAGCACGTGGACGACACAGCCTGTACGACCTACTTTGCAGTCAAAACACTTAGAAAGTTTACAACTAATACATATTTTGCAGCATTAGCTAGTTGAAAGCAATCAAAAGTGCATGTTATTTGAATGCTTCACATCAAAGCAAAGCCTCAACCAATGAAAAACTTGATTGATTTTTAGCAAAGCAAATTGAATCGTCGGGGATAAATCATTCTTGGAGTTCATAGATCATATTGGATATTATTAGATTGGATATGTCCTATCAACGAAGTGAAACAATCCGATATTGAAAGCGACACGAATGCATGACCAGCAAAGTGCTTTGATCATATGACTTGTAATGTTTACAAAATTCACAATGAAGGCTTTTGAGCACTTATCTCAGCAAACACAAACTCCATTTCATACAGAGTATTAAAACAAAAGCCATCCGCCTTAGAAATAGATTGGAAGATAAGAAATTTCGCAAGTAGCTTTCTCACCAAAAACAAGACCAGCTCCGATGAAAATGAAATGAAGAATGAAGCTGTTTATCAGTAAAAATCACATGATGACGTAAAAGTGGGAGTAAGACGACTAACGTAAGAAACAGCGGCATCAGTGTCAACCTTCGGCGTGCTGAGTGTGCGTATCGGTTTCCTGGTGCTAGTTGGCGACGACCGGTAACGGCATGGCGTTCATTTGGCTGGATTCGCCATGGAGCGCGTTATTGGCACGGAACTTGAATCTTTTGTCCATTCGTGCTCACTTTTTGTCCTTTCATCATTTTTGTTCTTGTTCAATCGTTCTCTACTTTGTCTGATCAGTACCTGTTTACGCAAGGACTAAATTGTTGGAAGCCTTAACCCTTTGATGTAAGCCTGGCACAGGGCCCGGCGGGGGTGGCGCTTTCACAAGCTGGATATCGTTTTTGGCCCGAAAAAGCAAAGGGGAAGTCGTATTATGGGGTCCGGGGCGGAGCCCCGGATCCCAAAATACGACTTCTTCTTTGTTTTACCGATAAACAATGCACATATCATTCTTTATTCATCATTCCTTATTGATGCTACTGTCCTATGAACTTAGATTCCAGCAATGTGAAGATTCTGTGCTCCGATCGCTAGCCTTCCCGCAGGCGGGAATTCAAATCGCAATTCTTGTAAGAGGAAAATAACAAAATAGGCTCGTTTTCAATGCACAAGTAACGATATGGCACCAAATTTGCTGTATAGTTGGAGGACCATGAGCACAAAAAAAGTATGAAAAATTATGAAAAACTTATGTGAATTAAAAAAATGGTAAGTGTTTTTCGAAATTAGGTGGCTCCCGCGCCACCTGGGAGCCACCTGGGGTGGCTCCCTGCTTCCCTTCACATAATTTCCCGGATTTCTTTACATAAATGTGGACTAGGTCGAGAGTATCACTACATGTTCAAATCCGCTTCCAAAACCACCAGGGCACCGCTTAGATACAGCCCCAAATAGGGTTCACGGCGTTATGATCGGCCTCGGAAAGCGCGCTCCAATCGCGATCGGTGCACCTTGCACGGACGACGCGGAAACTTCGAGAATTTGACATTTTCTGAATTAGTTATCGCTGATTGAAGCAATCTTCACGCGATTTCTGAACAGATTGCTTCTTCGACAAGCCCTACAAGGGCTCAGAAGGGCCAGAGATCATATTTCGTCGTGATATTCTATGCAAAAAGTTGTTTTTGTAATTGTGCTTCTTCAGTTTCCGCAATATGGTCGATTTCTCCGTACTTTCGCTCTTTTGGGTCGTTTGTTTTCTTCGTTTTCCTTTGTTCTGGTTGTTGTAGGCGTGCTGTCATCAAAAGTTAAGGAAATGTTTTTGACAAGATCGAGTTGAGTTAAATCGGTGGACCTTCATCCCACGGAAACGTGGCTATTGACAGCTCTTTACAGTGGAAGTGTTCAGATTTGGAATTACGAGGGTCAGCTGCTTCTGGAGTCTTTCAAAGTAGGTTTATTTTTTTTGAATTTTCATGTATTTTTGTATGTTAGGCCCCTGCCAGACTCCGGTCAAGATAGCTCATCTCTCGTGAAAAGGGGCCTTCGGTGTTCTTAAGCGGTTTTGGGCTGTTCAACTGAAGTCTGGCTGGGGCCTTATGTTGCTTACTATGTTTCAATCCAGTATCTTGCGCATTCTTCAGATATGTGATTTGCCAGTGCGCGCTGCCAAGTTCATTTCACGCAAAACTGTATTGTTACCGGCTCAGATGACATTCATGTCAGAATTTTCGACTACAGCACCTCGCACTTAGTTCACCAATTTGAGGCTCAATCGGACTATCTCAGGTAGGTGGAATGGTGCATTTATGCAAATATGTTACATTACATCGAATTTTTGCATTCGTTTTTGTACATCACATTTGTACTTTTCCGTTTTTTCTTTGTGTGTTTTCCTTTATTGCCTCCAATATTTTTGTGGATCAGCGAGACCTATATTTTCAATATGTTTCTGGACTGGACGATCCCTTATTACTCGACAGAGTTTACGCGATTTGATCGTCGCGATTGATTCGCGTAAACAACCAATGCAAGCTGGTCGGCATGCAATGATCTCGTAACAGTTGTCTTGTCGGCTAATGATAAAACTAATAAGATGTATTCATTTGCTGATGGGGAATTTTGGAATCTTCCGAAAAGGTGAGGAATTTTCCGAAAAGTGAAGGAAAGCCAGGTAGTACTTCTATAATAAGCGCTCAGGCCGCCCATCTTATTATTTGTGTATATCTGTTTGTCAGGGACTTACGGGGGCCAAAAATAGGGTCAAAGGGGAAGTCGTAAGCAATTTTGGCTTCAAAGGGGATATCGTTTTCAAAATTCTGAAATGCCACCTCCTGCCGGGCCCTGGCCTGGCAAATGGAAATGATTTACAAGCTTTCCGCTACTTCACTTTTTGATCATGATTGTTCTAAATGTGCGTTTTCTCCATGATCAATCTGCAAAATTCTTACATGTGTAGGGGAATCGTTTTTTATTGCAGGGCCGTTGAAATGATCACAAAAGCTCAATGCCACCTATGCCGGAAAGGCCCTTATTTGCTGAAGAACTTGTATGCTCACTTACGAGAAGTGCATAGTTCTTCAGAAGATGTCGTAACAGAAGTAGAAAAAGCCATAGCACAAACGAAAGTTGCGGGAAAAAAATGCACAAATGTGACATTTGTGGATCATTCTTTTCTTCATCGCAAAACCTCAGAAGACATCAAAAGGTGCGGCGGTCTTGCTTTGCTCATTCTAGGTGTGTACATTTCGAGTTCATTTTTAGAGTAAACATATTACTGAAGAAGAAACAATGGCAACATCGACCGAACAACCCACCTTAACATGTCCATCATGTCTGGAACACTTTCGTGATCAGTTTGATTTGGCAACTCATTGCAAAGTGGAACATTGTGCCGGCGAAGAAATAACGGATATAGAATTCAACAACTGGGATGAGTTCGAGGTCTAACTCTCTACTTTAAGTTAGGCTTAATATTCCGAATGTTTCATTTTTTAGATCTGGATGAGAATGAAAGAATACGAGACATACACGCAATTTGTCAGAAGAGATACGAAGCGAAGAGCTCACCATAATGTGTACTATTTTTTGTGTATGCACGCGGGAAGGGAGCGGAATGTTGATCCTCAGGAGCAGAAAAAACGCTATCGAAGATCGAAGAAAGTTCGTAAAAACTGTCCCGCATTCGCTAGAGTAAGCAATTGTTCATTCTTCTGTACTATTCGAAACCGCATAATTAGGCGCAACATAAATCTGATGGTTCTGTAAAGGTATTATCATACTTCGGACATGTGGGCCACAGAATCAACGTATCGAAGTTGTTCTTGTCTCGGATAAACAATCATTTAGAAACTTGCACAAGTGGGAGAAATTTTGCGCACATTATTGAGGGAAAGTCGGTACGATTTGCTCAAGTGCTGCGGAGACTCACTGGAACAACTTATACAGTCCATACCTCAAGAATTTAGAAGTAAACCTGACTTCACTAGAAGATTGTGCGTGCAGAATTTAGGTGCCGGACCACGACCAAAGAACATTCAGCCGTTCAAAACGGTGATTTTTTTTGCGCTGCCGATTCTAGAATTCTCAAGTTATTCGTTTTCAGAGGCAGGCAGCTAATCGCGAAAAGGCCGCAAGAAAAGTTTTGGATGAATCGACAGCAGTCATGAATGCAACAGATTCTCAGAGTTGACCGGCGAGAACTCAAAACTGCTTTGTTTGTGGACGAAGGTTTCTTGAGAGAAACGAAGAGAATGTGTTCGAGTGGGTGAGTTGCAGTCATCATACGTGCAGGGCATGGGCCCATTTATTTTGCACTACTGGCGTAGAAACTCCTTGTAACATATGTGGTGAAGGAGCATGGCAGTATGAGGCTTAGCACAAATCGTCATTCAATTTTTCATTCCTTTTCATTTTTTCTACTCATTGACACTGATTATTTTGCATTTCAATTTTCTGGTATGGCAGTCGTTTATTACTGTGAAGATTTTCGAATTCCTTTCCGTTGTTCTTGCACATCTTGTTATGTACATAATAAGTTGCCTTCAAGCACGCCTGTGCAATATAGATACGCATTTCATTGCAGTAACTGCTTACGGTTTACCTCGTCTTGTGTCATTTGCTCGACGAAGGTCAAGTAAAGTTTTTCTTTAGTTCGGCTTCCTAATAAATGTGTTGAATGTTTGGCATTACTTGTGAGATGCTCAAGAATCATGTATGATAAACACCCGCGAATTCGCAGCCTCGAATTGCGACACTGAGTAAGTAGTAGTTGATCCCTTACATTCTTCATCGTCATTCGGTAATCCGCCTCAAAAATTATGACGTTTTAGAAAGCGAAGTGAGTGTAGGGACTAGGGTCAACGACTAGCCTGATTGCAATGACTATCATCCTGTCAAACCGTCCTCTATCTGCCTATGGTGGGAAAAGGATGCGAATAAGAGCGTAAATTTTTGTCGTGACTAGGCCTTATCACCAATCGAGCTGTTTACGATACGCATGCCCATTCCATAAAATATGCAGGCGTGCCTTCTTTGCAAAAGCTGACTAGCTCTCAAGGTGCTGAACTACGTTGCGCTGAGTATCAGTGTTCATACTCCACAGCAGTAATAGGCGCGCTGAGCGTCGATTGTATTGCGGACAGCTGATTTGTATCTTTCACGTCTTTACACGGAGTTGTATTCAGTCGCATCGTTTCATGATTTAAGTCGTTTACCAACATGCGAATGCATTTTGTTCTTCGCAGCACTGTAAATTTTGCGTGGTGGCACCACCACACTGGCATTTTACCCTACGCGAAACACGGATTCAGTTACGACATGATAGATACACCAGATGTAGGGCAAGAGTTGTTGCGTGACCGACGGGGTAGAGGACATCACAGTGCTTATCAATTGCAAAGTAAAGTTTGTAATTCATCTCCATTTGTCAGGCTTACATCGAAGGGTTGAGGTTTCCAGCAATGCAGTCCTTGCGTAAACAGGTACTGATCGGACAAATGAGGGAACGAATGAACAAGAACAAAAATGATGAAAGATCAAAAAGTGAACACGAATGGACACAAGAATCAAGTTCCGTGCCAATAACGCGCTCCATGGCGAATCCAGCCAAATGAACGCCGTGCCGTGGTCGCCCTAGTTGGTCGGTGGGCGATTGCGCCGGCGTGCTCCACTTCAAAACTGTGGAACAACCGGGATGCCGATCTTTGAGATCCTCTTTGCAACTACGTCATTTCGTGCTGCATAACCTCCTTCTAACTTCGAAAGGGCATTTATCAGCTTTTCAGATAGTTCTGAACTAAATCAACACTTTTTGTTCCTTTCCTTCCTTCATCACCTTCTTATCCACAAAATATGCTCGCTCTAGATAAGTTTAGTCGGTTTTGCACTTTGTTCTCAATTGCATAACTTTCACTCCAAGTAAGCTTATTTCCTACATAAAATATATTAGTGCGCAGCTAAGAGGTGTCTCTTTCTTACAAATGCGTCTCCGTTGCCGTCCCCCCTTTACCCCCCCCCCCCCCTTCGGCCCGCTTTATAGATGCAAAAATCCGAACATTTTCTGCGACATGACGAAACTAGTGCTGCTGTATCAAGAGCAATCATAATGTTCGGTGGGATTTTTAGATTTGCTTTCGCGGCTATAGTCCCTTCTATGATTGCTGCTACCTCTGCTCTGCGTCTCTGACCTGCGACACGTAATGCTAACATGTCAACAACATGCAGCAACATGTTGACTCTCGAATTATTCAGCTTGCAATTTTACATGTGTAATTGCACAAGATGCCCATTGCGCGTCAATCGGTTTCCTTGATCACTTTGCAACATCTTTTGAAAACGACAAGTATTTTCATGTTGCAAAATAAAAGAAACTAAGAAAAGTATAGGCGGTTTAAAGCACGCCAACCGGCTGACGTATCGGCGTCTCTCAGGTCGTGCGCTTTTTCGTTTCTCTTACCATCTGCTGTCTCTCCCATGCACGAACTATCTTGCCGGACGCAGCTGCACCCAGTCCACACGTGCGTGACATGAATAGTGTATACTTGAGAAAAACTTTACACTAAGCATACGTTGCTAGTAAATGTCAAAGTCGGCGCGCATTATGCGCGGATGCGTGGCTGAGTCAGAGGTATAGAAAAAACAATTTAAACATGCCTGCTTATGAAGTAGGAGCAGTGAGTCATACGTTAATGCGTCAGTTACAATGTTGTCAAACTTTCTTTAGAAAAAATTGCAGCCGGCTTGATAGGAAATGACCTATTAGGTTGTCCGGAAATTAATGCCCGTTTTGAGCTTCAAACCGCAGTAAATCATACACTTCTCACTTCTAAATAGGTTGCAAAGTACCATTCGATAGAACAAAGCAAGCTCTACAAGATGGCTCTCTTGTTTTTGCAGCAGCTCTTATTTACCTTGAGTTTTAAGGCAAAAAGTAAAATGACCTCAGCTGCCCGAAAAATCGAGAAAAATCGTAACTCAGTCCATAAAAATCCTACTAAATTCCTTACTTGCTCAAGTTAACACTTTCCACATAAATCATCTATATACGCCTATGCCGTATTTTTCTCTCTGTTAAAAATCAAGAAAACGGAAGTTTTCGTGCATCTGCCAAAGTGATGCTGTGCCGTCCCCACATAGGTAGTTGTATACCACAAGCCCGTAGAAGTATAGACTTAAATTTTCAGCTCTCTACAGGCTTTAGTTCTCGAGAAATTTGAATTTTAGCTTGGACCACCTAACTGGGAAAAGCTATAATCGGTATTTCTCGAGAACTAAAGCTTGTAGAGAACTGAAAATCTATGTTTGTACTTCCACAGGTTTGTAGTATACAACCACTTATGTGGGGACGGCACAGCATTACTTTGGCAAATTCACGAAAATTTTCGTTTTTTCAATTTCTAACAGAGGAAAAAATACGGCAAAGCCGTATAGAGATGTTTCATGTGTATAGTGTTAACGTGGGCAAGTAAGAATTTTCGTAGGATTTTTATGAGCTGAGTTACGATTTTTCTCGATTTTTCGGGCAGCTGAGTCTTTTTACTTTTTACCTTAAAACTCGAGGTGGATAAGAGCTATTGCAAAAGCAAGAGAGCCGTCTTGTAGAGCTTGCTTCGCTCTATCGAATGGTATAGTAGACGTCATCCGTCTAGTCACCTCGGTGCGATGTGTGTCACTGCACACAATTTTGAAATCACGGATGAGGTGCTGGGTTCGCGCCGTGCCGTACTTGCACCAAGAGCGCATACGGCTAAAATTCGACTCCAAATTCTGCCCGTTTTTCTTATTTCGGTGTTTTTTTGTTTTTAGCTGCACGCACATTTAGTTTTCGATGATTTGTTACCTTTATACCGTGCACTGCCGTTTCGGATCGCATATTTCAAAATTTTTCACTTTTGCTTCCAGGTAAGGGAGGCAAATGGGCAATCCTGCAGGATAAGGTAAGTGCGCTTTCTTCAGTATTGTCGGATGTAGAAAGAGTAGAGTGTCTCTTAGGCAATGCGAGTTTCAACTTCCTTCTGACTAATATCGAAAATTTTGTTGTTTTTTTTGTGGCGAATTTTCAATGAGAAGTTATTTTCAAATGCAGGATTGCTTCAAGTAGAAATTTTTAGTGTTGATGCGATGTTTGTGAACTGCGTGAATCTTATTCAGCATTGCAAAGATATTTGGATGGATGGTAAGTTAAGTGCGAATCCTCTTCTTTGTTCCTTTGATATGTCCTGTTCGCTCATCTCCTCTCCTCGATTGTCTGGCTGTAGTATGTTTGATCGGCTCCCAGATCTTGTAGAGGCGAGTTGTAAGCCTTAACTGATTTCAAGGATAAACTTGTTGGAACTCCACGTCATAGCATTGTTTTTCGATCTCTCTCGCAATCAAAAAACCGCTACGCTTTGAGTTGGCAAAACCTCGCCTATACATGAATCGTGGAGTCGATGATACAGGGACTTTCAACCTGAGTGTCACGGCTGGCGCTGCTTCTGAGCCACCTCCTGCTTTCTCGCCGCGTTTACTTCCAGCGGATACGGTGAGGGCCAATGACAAAGTAACAACTACGGTGCGGGCCTAAGGCAAAACAACGGCAGCAACAACAAAGCAAATGACTACAACAACACACATGCAACGACAAAGTCTCGCCGACCGTGACACTCAGTCGCAATTCGCCAAAAATCTTCAGATCCAGCATTAGCGAGCACAAGCATAGTGTATAACTTTCGTCGATTGATGAAATGTCCTGTCTTCTGTACATTTGAAATGTGCGTACAATGAGTATGGATAGTTGGAATATTGCTAAATTGCCTCGCGACTGAAATCGCGTGAAGTATGCCGGGCCCTTTAGACACCTTTGTGCGCTTTGATTTTCTGCGACGTCTTTACAACCTCACTGTTATAAGTGTCGCATATTCCCAGCTATCTATTAGGTTTTAAAGAAAGTTCCCGGGCACTTGCGAAAATTTTTTTTCAAATCGCTGTGATCTCAAGCAGATTGAATCTTCTTTGAGACTACAAACTTCATTGCAAAGACAATTTTGTCCGCAACATATTATCTTGCTGGCTTTTCAGCACCTTACTGCGATCCACCAGTATGCGCAGAAAGGAAAAGGGTCGACGCGAAAAGTGGCCTGTTTGTGCAGGATTATCTCAGGCACGTTGAAAGCTGAATAGCTTAAATGCTGTAGTTAAATAGAAGTCTGC